TTTCTGATATGTTGGTCTGCAAGAGCCCATGGGGCAATTCTTCACCAAATATCGGCTTGCGGGTCTTCGCCCTCTCCCTATAGAACGGCTCCTTCAAGTAATTATCAATCTCGAGATATGGTTTCGAGGATTTGCAGCTCAGTTCTTTTTTGATATGTTGGTCTGCAAGAGCCCATGGGGCAATTCTTCACCAAATATCAGCTTGCGGGTCTTCGCCCTCTCCCTATAGGACGGCTCCTTCAAGGAATTATCGATTTGCGAGTGGCCCATACGGCGCTTTTTTTTGGAATATTGGTCTGTAGGACAGGTCATAAGACAGGTCTTTTTTAAAAGTTTGGTTTATAGGTGGTCCGTAGAGCAGTTTTATCACAATATGCTGTGGTTTGTATGGATTTCAAGGCACTTCTTTTTTAAAATATCATTGTGTAGGTCTCTAAGTAGCTGATAGCTTCGTTTTTCTCAAAACTTTGGTTTGCTGATAGAGCAGATCATACGTGGCGCCTCGTAAGCGTACAGTTTGTAGGGTAGGGTTTAGAATATCGAGCTGATGGCCATAGGGCAGTGCTTTCTCATAATTAAAAACCATAGGGATCTGCAAGCGGCCCATAAAACATTTCCTTCTAATAACTAAGTACCGTTCGCGAGCGGCCCTTAGGGCAGGATTTTTCGTCTGTTAGCAGCCCATATGGCTTCCTTGCAACATTAGTTTGTAAGGAGGGGGGGGGGGGGCGTACGGCAGATCTATTCCAGAGATGCATTTGTAGGGGTTCGAAGGGTTTGTTATGTTTCCAAATTCCCTCTCTGTAGGAGGCCGTAGGAAAGATTTTTATCTTGTAATTACCTTCTGGAGGATCAAAGGGCAGCTGTTACATATATCGCTCTGTAGGTGGTATACTTTTCATAAATAAACAGTGCAGAGCACTGTTTATTTATAAAAAGTAGTCTGTGGGCGACATTAATCATTCATAATCATGAGAGATTGGAAGGGGTAGAGGATTGCCCAAATTATTGGTCTATAAGCGGTCCATAAGGCACATCATTCCTACATTATTGGTCTGTAGGCGGTGCAGCAGCTTCTCTTCAAGATATTATTTGTATGTAGCTTGATATATGGTTTTGTAAGGTTACAGTTTCCTCTCCAATGGTTCGCAGAGTACTTGTAAAGAGAGCGGTTCTTGAAAACATCGGTCTTGAAGCTCCTAGGAAAGCATCGGCTCCTAGGGTCCTCTCAGAATATTGGCTTGAGTGTTTGTAGGGCAGTTCTTCCTCAAAAATTCGATTAAAAGCGGCCCATAGGGCATTTTTTTGAAGTATTGGTGTGTAAGAAGCTCGGAGTGTAGGTGAATTATCGGTCTATAAACCCATATAGCATTCTCAGGATGTCGGTTTGTAAGCGGACGGTGTCAATCTCATCCCGGAATATAGGTTTGTAGCGGCTCGAAGGGCAGTTCTTCCAGAATTCTTTGTAGGGGGCCCCCATAGGAAAGTTTATTCTTCAAAATTGGTTTGTAGGGGTTTACAGGGTAGTTCTCTTCGAAAATATTGATCTGATGAGCGACCCAATTTCTATTTAGAAAATTTCAATAAATTTCGGCCAGTAAGCGGCTCTTATGGCTGTCTCTTGAATATGAGAAGATCTTAGGGCAGTTCTTGATATTGCTCTGTAGGTTCGCTGGCAGTTCTTATTCAAAATGGTCTGTAAGCGGCACGTAGGGCATAAAATCTCAATAAGTGTGATAGATAAGCTGCCCCCTTGGGTACCTCTTCTCAGAATATTGGGTTCTGAAGGCTTACAGTCCAGTTCTTTTCATAATTATTGGTTTGCAGCCCACAAGCAGTGCTTCTTTCAAATATGTGTGTGGCCCGCAGGGAGCCTTTGTGAATAACACTTTGTTGGAAGAGGGGGTGGGGGAGGGAGGCAGTAAGGCAGTCCTTATTAAGAATATCGGTCTATGAGCGACCCACTGTGGTTCATAGGGACATCCTAAAAACGGCCCACAGGGTAGTCCTTTTATACAATATCAGATCAGAAGGTATGGTTTGTAGGATATTTATGCATTACTTTTATTCTTATGGACATAGGAAAGCTTTTTTTAGTTAAAAGTTCGTAATGTTGAGTGACTATTCTTTTGAACCCAAATGAATTTGCCTTACCAGCTGTAAGCGGCCCTTAGGGTCGCTAGTTTACACAAAAGAATAGCACACCGCATAATGGCCGAGCTATATCTATCCTCTTCACCACCTTATTCACTTCGAAACAAAACGCATCATCACTAAAAGACATGACTCGTCCTTGTTGATGACGGCTACGACCGGCTAACGGCGGCTGTCAGCGCGGTATGAAGGCACCAGTGTTAGGTTAAATTACCACCAACTTTTCTCAACCCCCAAAGCTAATATAAGAGTGTGCGAGGTTGAGCCATGATCAAGAGTGGGGTGTGGGCTTACTTCATGAAAGACTAGCTGGCAAACCCTGTAATAATATATTCGCAATCAACATGCTCACTTACCCCCCCCCCGGTGCCAACTTCCAGCCCCGTAGCTCAAACTTTGCAAAAGATGGAAAAAATCGATCTCGATCGGTAGCGAAAAGTGGTCTATGACACCCGCCTCACCTCGAAGTATATGTGTGTCAAGTTTGGTCCGGATCGGTTCAGAAATGGAATTTTCTATTCGGAACATACGTACAATGCATTTAGCGAGGCCAGCGCCGCGTAGTGCAGTCATGCATCCACGCGCGAGAATTACCCGCGCAGCGTGCTGCGCACAACGTCGCGGGCCTTGTTTTTACCATTGTAACTCGTGATCTCCCGTTTTTTTACCAGTGGTTTCCCATCTTTTCTCCTATTCTTCACATGCGATCTGTCTTGATACCGGATATGAATTTCTTCGAAGCATAGGACGGAGGTATCAAATCTTTGAGCGTTTTTCCTCATGACATCTTTTATTTCATCCAGTCTTCTTCAGATGGCTGATTCCGGATGTTATATTCATTATATCAACTTCTGTTTCAGCGGACATAATCGATACCGTTTAGGATTGAGTGAACAACGCGTTGTTACTCAAACTGTTCTCTCAACATGTACGTATATGATTAAACCTCACATATCCATCTTTAGCTGTAAGGAGGAAGAGCACCAGCTGTTCTCAGAATTTTAAAATGAAAGATTCAGATTACATCTCCTTTCAGACCTCAAACCTCCATTTTTTCGCGCGGTGATACTTTGAGAGATTTCAGGAAGTACCGAAGTAGAGTTTTAGACAGGAAAAGCTCGGAAATTTGGAAACAGGACAGCGAATAAGCTAAGAAAGAAGCAGGAAAGGTGGCTAAAACAAGGACCACATCGCTTTGCGCGGCATGGTCCTTGCACGCTGCAGCACACGGTAGCGCTCGCGTGCAGGTGTGTGACTGCACTACGCGGCGCTGACCTTTTCAAATACACTTGTAGACACGTATACACATACATGCAGACAGACAAACAGATTTGCAGCTTTCTATATAAGATAGGGCCAATGCCGCAGGGACTGATCCACTTGCGCGTGAACATCCACGAGGGCAAACCAATCTCAAAAAAGGAGTCAGGGTATGTCACACAAGTTCAACTTAAAAGCAGTGTCCCGGCAGATTCGCGTCCTGGGAGATATTGCTGTGGTGGGGTTCCTGGTCATCCCACTGACCTCCAGGCGCAGTCCGGCTGGTATGTTCCCCATGGGTCGAGAAAATAGCCCTGGAACCGGCGCGCAACCCCAGTCGGCGCGCGCTCGGACGACTTCGCTTACGTTCGGCGCGGAACCCCACAACCACTCTCTCGCGTTTGCATGCTATCCAAAGAAAGAAATTACAGAGGGTCTTCGTGCCAGGGCCAATTTTTCATCGGAATTCTCGTCCGAGCTGACTTTTAGAAATTGGGTAAACTCCCCGAAAAAGGTCTTTTTACCCGTTTCAAAGCTCATATTAGGGGTCTACGGGTCGAAAAGGCCCAAAACATGCAAAAAGATGGAAATGCAAAATCTGCCGGGACACTGGCTTTGACGGCACGCCAGCAAACGACCTTTCCCGAGCGGCAAGCAGTGGTAACCGTGCATGCGCTTCGCCTATCGTGCAACCTGTGTCAACGATGTGCTCCCTGATCTCCTCAAAGGCAGCATCCAGGCAAATCTGGACCTATGGGGCTCTCACGTGGAAAGTAATCTTGAGGCCCTAAGTAAGACTCGTGCCCAAGAGGTAGTTTAGATAGTGCACTCACGGCTAAGTTGGGCTCCAAACTATGCCCCGTGACCGTATTTGTATGGATTCGTGGCGCTTCCGCGCGAGGATCCATGCGAAACTGATGTGCCGAGCCATGAATCCATGCGGATACGGTCACGGGGCATAGTTTGGAGCCCAATATCTTAGCCGTGAGTGCACTATCTGAACTGCCGCTTGGGCAGTCTTACTTAGGGCCTCAAGATTACTTTCCACGTGAGAACCCCATAGGTCCAGATTTGCTGGACGCTGCCTTCAAGCGCAACGTTGGAGCCGCGTGCCGCATTCGCGGGTGCTCGAGCGTTCAAATTGCCGCATCGATCGGAGATCGCTGCGCAGTGCTTACGCTGCGGATACGTAACTGCGGAAAAGGGAGCACGTTTTGACACAAATTATACAATCGGACACCAACGAGCGTTTGTATGGCAATCGCTAGCCATCAAAGCAATTAGTGATTCCTAGCGATCCAATTCATCTGCAGTCCAGTATGCATCACTTTTGAATTTGCCTCTTCAATAGCATTTCTTCCGCGAAAGTATAGAAAAGTATGGACCTTGAGAATACAGTGTAAAAAGTCGACTACTGATAATGATTGAAACTTGCGCTAGTAATGTGCTGCATTGAACTATACAAAGCAGACGTTACGGTATGAATGGAGGTGCTTAGAACAAGACAGTTTTTACCTAAGCGTTTTTACGGCATCTAAGAGAGTTTCATGTTCCTTCAAAAAATTTTTAACAGTTTAGGTAATCACCTTTTTGGCCACTAAGCCAGCAGCTAGCATCACGCTAGGATTACTGGTATTTGTGCATGAAGTTATAGCAGCGATAACGACCGAACCGTGAGTGAGATCCCCTTCTTTGCCATCCTTGCTCATAAAAGCGTGTCTCGTCACTTCTTCGGTTTTCAAAGCAAACCCCTGAAATAAATGATGAAGAAAAGATGAGCACCACAGGACAACATGTGCTTTTACTATACCTTAAAAGAAGGCTTAGCAGTAAGATTAGTGTTGAAATCTTCATGCAGCATGGGCAGAGGAATGCGATCGTGCGGTCGCTTAGGACCGGCCACGGAAGGTACAATCGTACTCATATCAAGAGTCAAAACCTGTGAAAGTTACACATAGAGTCAAAAACGAAAAAAACATGACTGACTTTTGTGTATGCAGGCCTAATTGTAGAATCTTCATAGTCAACAAACATTTTGTTGGCTTTCAAGTAACATTCCACTCGTAGACAATAGTCTTCATCACGACCAGTCTGCTTGAGATACCTGTAGTATTAGGAATATCTGTTCTAGCACCATCCAATCTCTCTCAGAAAAGGTTATCAATATTCCCAGTATAACGCAACATATGGAAAAGTACACGAAGTCTAGATAAGGTAAGTTAGTCTGCAAATAAAGCTAACTCAAACTGAAACGTACTGAAGAGTTCTTTTGTCGACGGGAAAAAAACCAACAGTGGCTCCGTATTCTGGACACATGTTGGCGATGGTGGCACGATCAGCTATGGAAAGCCATGCAACTCCTTCCCCGAAAAACTCCACAAACTTTCCAACAACCCCAGTTGCACGGAGACTCTGAAGAATAAGCACGGAAACGGTGAGAGAAGAAGAGAAACACAGCACTTCAATTCATTAGATGTTACCACCTGCAGCAGCCGTGATTATGACCGGCCGTATTCATTCGGTGCTGTCTTCCAAGACGACAAATTCATCAAGAGCGGTGAGCACAAAAATCTTACCTCCGTGATAGTCAATACCAAATCGGTGCTAGTTACAGTGTCAGCCAACCGTCCGACAAGTTCGTAGCCGATAACCTCAGGAATGACCTTGAAAAATGTTACTGCTTCCGCAAGTTCATATGATTGAGATAGCACAGCTAATTAGCGCAAATAAAATCTTTTCGAGTTAGAAACAAGGAAGAAGAAGCTCGCGAACCATGGAGATAGGCTGACCGAGCATGACGGCTTCGGCTTCTATGCCTCCCACTCCCCAACCTAGAACACCACTCCCATCAATCATTGTTGTATGCGAGTCCGTTCCGACGACAGAATCCGGGTAGAGAATGCCAGCCTAGCAGCAATTCAACAGATCAGCTTGGTCATGTACCAAAACTGAGTACTTGTAATACCTCATTGACGAATACCGTTCTGGATAAATACTCGAGATTGACCTGATGAACAATCCCCACGCCTGGTGGGACAATGCGGAGGTTTTCGAAGGCAGTTGACCCCCACTGAAAAATCACAATTCAATTGTTATGATTTTGTAGAGGTAGACAGAGAAATGCTATGAGTTATGAACTCACTTTCAAAAAGTTGAAACGTTCCTTATTTCTCTCAAACTCAATTTGTTGGTTCCTTTCGAGAGCGTTTTTGCTGAAATTCAGTTGGCTATGTCATTTGCATACTATCATCTGTCCCTCAGAAATGTTCCCGTAGGTACCATGTCAGCTCGCTGCCTTTTGCTCTTTTTAACATGTTTAACTTCAGCAAATTCAAGGCATTTTTTGAAGTGAACGTGTTAAGCGTTCGAGAGGCAGCGAGCTGACGTGGTACTTATGGGAAAATTTCTGGGAGACAAACCATACTTTTAATGATACAAAATATCAAATCAAATAACAGACATCAGCGTAAGTAACAATGACAGCCAACATCTACTTTGTTTCCCTCAGCAGTAGCGGAGCCAGATCTTGTTACGTACTACGCTTTGATAAGTCAGAACTCATAAGAGTGAGGAACTAGGACATGCCAAATGGACGTACTCTCCATAGTGGTCCACTTGGACTGAGTGGTCGATGACGAGATCCACTGGACAAACAGGGTTGATACGAGACGGATCAGCCCCGAGACTTTGCACAGCATCCCTCATGGCTGCCAAATCAACAATAGCCGGAACACCACTATAAAAAGTCAAAAACTACAGAAAGTCATAGTCAGGAGTTTCTGTGGTAAAACAAACTCACGTAAAGTCTTGGAGGATTACACGAGCGGGTTTGAAAGGAATCTCAGAATGGGCCTCTTGGCTACGCTTCCAGTTCAAGATGGTTTCTACGTCGGATTCCGAGACGTGGAAGCCGTCGCAGTGACGAACTGCTGCTTCCAGCAAATATCGAATAGAGATCGGCAGTTCATCTTGAATGATTAATACACAAAGTAGCAGTGGATACTAAAATCTAAACAAACCATATCTAGGATCGTTGAGAGCCGTAAGATCGTAATACTTTAAATTAGCACCATTCACTACAATGTCTTTGAGCAGATGCTTGTATGCCATGTGAAAAGCAGTATTACGCACTGTGGAGGAGTAATGCCACTGCCGTCCAACGACCTTCGAGAGGGCGATAAGAGCCCGCAGACCGCACGAAAGGTTGCACGATTTTATCAAGAGAAAGCAGCCACAATTATTCAAAGAAGGGATATGCAACAGAGCGAAAGCGTAGAAAAAAAACAGCTTTTCAGTTTCAAGGATTGAAACAAGGAATAGCACATTAACATTTGCTTAAGCTGTGCGGGTTAGCTCTATGGGTTATAACGTATGCGGTAAAACTACAGCACGTTGGACATCACTTTATAGATTCATGTTGAGATGTGATGATCCTGATTCGAGAAGGCAATATTTCCGTCTTCGACAACTCTGAGGGACAGGTCTATTTCGCCAAAGAAAGCCCAAAAGCGCCCAAAAAGCCCACAAAAATCCAAAATCGTCAGAAAGAGCCGGAACGCCCCCTCGCAAGTTTTGGCGCTAGGGCATGTGTGTTGTTCGCAAGGCGGTCCTTTCACTTAATTATTCTTTAAACCTAGTTGTTCTAGTATCCAACATGTTCCCGAAACTAATGCTCCAGCGCCAAAAGTAGCGCTCGTGAAGTGGGCGTTCTTGCGCTTTTGGGCTTTTTGGGCTTTTTTCGGGCTTTTTTGGGCGCTTTTGGGCTTTTTTCGGCTAAGTATGACAGGTCCCTGACACGCTGCGTCTCAAATGGGTTTATGCGCTTCAGAAACAGCTGGAAAAATTTGCGACGTGTATGGATAGAATGCTGTACCACCTATAAACTACTCACAAGTGCTAAAATTACTCAAAAACTCATATTACAAGCTTGTAGGTCTGGTTTCTGACATCTCTCCGGCGCCAACGTTAGGCATATAAGGGCTCCCTGAGAGATCGTCAAACAACACAGAATTGGGCCTAAACTGAGTTAAAACTTACTACAAGTGCTTAAAGGCAGCGTCCAGGCAAGATCCACACCCCAGATTAGCACATAGTTGTAAAGAGGGGTTCATGATATATTCGATCTGCGCTGGTCCGATCCTTTGACGTGACCTCTAAAAGGAGATACGGGCCTGTGATACGTATCACACCGCCCCTCCGTATCACAAACCACCTCTGAGGACGAGTGCTCACGCAGGTGTGCAGTTGCATTGCAGTTGCACTGCACAATGCAATGCAGCTGCATCCGTGCAGTGCAGTGTGCAGTGCAGCTCCTCAAGCTGGCATGCGATGGGGACGAGCAATCCGAAATTCGTCCGCTCCTTGAGGAGAGGGTCCCCAAGAATCGGGTTTTTTGAGGGTTTTGAACAATTAGGACTTCACAGCTGTAACCAAGGCCACAGAAAGGCCCCAGAATGGCAGAAACATGAGAGGCGAAATTTTGTCCGGACGCTGCCTTTAAGTGATTGGTCTGTTGTTTTCGATTGTTGTCAGGCTTTTTGAAAAATTTTTGTTATGATTCAATGATTAACGTGAAAAACTGAGAGAGAAAGAGATGTCGAAAATGGATTCGCCTTCTCAAAATTTTGGCTTGCAGCCGAATATTTTATTACTTTTTGCAAAATGAAAAATCAATGATAGTATGATAGAGCATCTAAAGCTTTTGAACGCATACACACTCACCAAATGCTTTGCGAAATAATGAGAAAAACTAAAACCAAAAAAAGGTACTATTCCACATTAGTTGCAAAAAATGAAAATCGTGAATTTCGCTAAAACTTCGTCTAGGGCGGTTATTTGGTACGCTGAACACGAATATGATGTTTATTTCGTGCGACAGCGCCATCCGGTGGAGTTATTACGGTAGGGGTGAAAATCACGGAATTGCCAGAAACTTCGTCTAGAGGGGTTATTCAGCATGCTGAACACGAATATCACATTGATTTTGAACCGTAGCGTCATTTCCTCGGGTTACGGTAACTACACGGTAACTGGTGTAAAACATAGTTCTGCCTGAGACGGGTGTACGGCGATTCGGACGATCGTGAAGCTTTGCACACACGTCCACCGCCGCGCGCTACACACCCTGCTGCGGCTTTTGGCTAAGCAAAGCACAGGGGAAAGATACATTTGCCGATTTTTGATTTTGACCCCTACCGTAAACCTACCGTAATCATGCAGGGAGACGTTTTCATGCGGAGAAAGGGTGACATTTCTAATCAGCATGCCGAATAACTCCTCTGTGCGAAGTTACAGCGGATTTTGAGATTTTGACCCACTACGGCATACCTACCGTAACCCGAGAAAATGACGCTACGGTACAAAACCAATGTGATATTCAGCATCAGCGGGCCGAATAACCCCTCTGCGCCAAGTCTCGGGCAAATCCGTGATTTTGACCTCTACGTAATCGTACCGTAACTCCAATGGGTGGCGTTCTCGTACGAAATAAACATAATATTCGTGTTCAGCGTACCAAATAACCCCCTAGACGAAGTTTTAGCGAAATTCACGATTTTCATTTTTTGGGCCAACTAATTTGGATTACTTACTTACTTAGATACTTAGATGGCCCGTCCTCACGTGACGTGCGGGCCCCAGTACAGAAGTTGCCATTGATCCCTGTCCCTCGCTTCGGACATCCACGATCTTCTTGGCCGTCGTCGGTGGCTGCGTCCACGAGTTCCAGGGGCGAAAGTCGTATCCAGCTGATTTCTCAGCTGGTCCATCCGTTCCACGAACACGTCTGCCCATCTCGTCGGTGGTCTTCCTCGAGGACGTTTTGCTTCGCGAGGAATCCACTCCGATGTTCTTAGTGTCCATCTGTCGTCTGTTCTTCTCATAATGTCATCGGCCCATCGGTGTTCCGCTTTCGCGACGTATTCCGCTGGGTCACGAAGACGGGACATTCTTCTCATATCCGTGCTGCGAAGTCCGACTAGATGTTGCTTGCGTCGGGTCATCTTCAGAAGACTGCGCTCGAGCGCTCTGTGGGTGGTCCGTAAAGCTTTCGACGTGGCTACAGTGTCGGCCCAAGTCTCAGCTGCGTAACAGAGCGCCGGGAGAACGGTTGAGTCGAACAGGTGGGCACGAAGCTCCGGGTCCGTCAGTTAGTCGGTGGCTTCCTTCAGAGGCCCGAAGTCGGCCCAGGCTGCTCTTCTTCTCCTGTTAAGTTCTTCCCTCAAGTCGTTCTCCATGTTCATCGAACGTCCGAGATACACGTAGGAAGACGTCTCCATAATCGGGGTGCCTTCCAATTCCATTTCTGCATCTTCGCAAAGGGCGTTCTTCATGAACTGAGTCTTCTTCCGATTTATTCGCAGTCCGATCTTCTTCCCTACTTCGTTTAGTTCCTTCAGCATCGTCTCTGCTTCAGTGATACTGCTCGAAAAGAGAACGATGTTGTCCGCAAAACGAAGGTTAGGCAGAAATCTCCCATCAACTCGTATGCCTCTCTCTTCCCAGTCTAGTGACTTCATCACCCACTGCAAGGCCGCTGTGAACAGCTTCGACGAAATTGTGTCGCCTTGTCGGACCCCCTTCCCTATTGGGATGGTTAGGGGGCGATGGAACAGCTGCATCGCCGTTGTACGGTCCTTATAGCAGTCGGCTAATGTCCTCACGAAGCTGGGTCCACTCCTTGGTCGACTAGCGCAGACAGGATGGCGTTGGTTTCGACGCTGTCAAAGGCTTTCTCGTAGTCGACAAAGGTTAGGACGAGAGGCAGTCGGTACTCCCAGCAGACTTCTATGACCCTCGAAACCGTCTGGATGTGGTCCATGCAGCTGAATCCTTTGCGAAATCCAGCTTGTTCTTGGGATTGGGCTTCGTCCAATGTCCTAGATATGCGTGCGAGGATAATCTTCGTGAAAAGCTTGTACAGCACACTCAGCAGGCATATTGGACGGTAGTTCCGAAGATCCTCCCGTTCACCCTTCTTGAAAAGAAGGACGGTTCTTGACGTTCTCCACTGGTCGGGAATCCTCTCCTTCTGAAGGTAAGATGTCAGGTGCGACGCTAGAACCTCGTGTAAACGGTGTCCTCCGGCTCGCAGAAATTCCACGGAAAGATGGTCTAGTCCTGGAGCGGTGGACGTCTTCATGATCTGGATCGCCGTGCGCACTTCAGCAGGTAGAATTCGTGGTGTTACTTCTCCAGTGGGAACAACGGGAATCGGCAGGAGTGTTGATGAGCGGAAGAGGTTAGTGTAGAAGTTCTTCGCGATAGATTCCATCTTGTAACGGGAAGAAGTCGGAGTCCCGTCTTCGTTCAATAGTGCGGCCAGCGATACATGATATTCACAGAGGCCCCTTCGGCACGTCTTGAGACTTCGTCTTCCTTCGACTGCTTCGAGTATCTCGGCTTGCCTGTACTTTCTGAGATCCTCCTGCAAAGCTGTTCTGCAACTGGCGTTGGCTATCAGTCGCTCGAGATGGGTTGCATTTGGATCCTGCCTCAGAAATCTTCTTCTGTCGAGCAGTTCTTTGGTGGTCTTCGAGATGCGGTCCAAGTTCTTCTCAGAAGTCACTGAGGCGCACTCTCCGCAGGCTCGCAATCCTTTCAGAAGCCGGTCGTAGTCGTACGTTGGGTCCTCCTCGATGGGCCAGTCACATCTTGATATGAGCTCTTCCAGCCTGTTACTGTCATAAACGACTTCCTTCCTTCTGGTGGCAGTGTGACAGACTTTCTTTTCCACCTTTCGACTGAATCGTATCTAAGCTCGAAGGAGGCGGCGATCGGAGCCACTGCAGAAAGATGGAACTACTGAGACATCGAGCAAGCTCCACCTTCGGTTGGTGAGAATGTGGTCGATCTCCGCGTGAGTCGTTCCGTTGGGCGATTCCCATGTCCACCGGCGATGTTCTTTCTTCATGAAGATGGAATTTCCATGGAAGAGTCGTGCGGCGGAGAAAAGCCCAGCGAGACGGTTGCCGTTTTCGTTCCGGAGCCCATATCCAAACTTCCGATCCTATATTCCTTTTCTAGTGGCATCCCGATTTTCGCATTGAAGTCGCCCACAACATACTTGTAGAAGGACTTTTCGTTGCGGACGACCTCCTCCACGTCTTCGTAGAAAGCATCTAGTTCTGATTCGTCAGCTGCTGATGTTGGAGAGTAGCAGTTGATGATGCTGATGGTCTTCTGACGTGGAGGGCGTAGTCGTAGGATGGCTAGTCGGGGTGATAGGATCTCGTGCGAATCGACAAGATGGACGATAGATGGGTGGACGACAAAGCCAACGCCTCCCACGTTTCGTGATGGAACCTTCTCACCACGAATGATGAGCGTCCCATCATTCATCTGTCGCACGTCATTCTTCCTGGACTTCGTTTCCTGCAGAGCGATGATGTGGTACTTGATGTGCTCTGCAGCGTCGAGAAGAGCGTGGAGGTCGGCGTTTGTGGAGACTGTCCTGGCGTTGTAGGTGCAGAGCATGAAACAATTTCCGTGGCGTGTCGTCCGGGCAGACGTGTCGTTTTTGTCCAATCCAAAAGGCGCCCTGAGGACCCTGACATCAGTCTTGCTACCACCCGGCGCCGTAGGCGGGATCCGATGTGCAGGGTTTCTTTCTATTCTTCTAACTGGTAGAGTAATGAAATTTTTTCCCCTACAAGAGCAGACTTACTAGGCCAACTCTTGATTTCCACGGGGCGATCGCTGACCCCGGGCTTGGAGCGGGGAGAACCGCCTAGCGACCTGAAAACCAGACGGCGGTGGATCTGGCCTGGCCGGCACTTAGCTAGGCATCCGGCCGAAACCGGAAACGTCGAACTCCTTCACAGCTTGGGAGGCCCTGCCAGAGTATACACTCGGCTGTGCATCGCAGTTCGACACCCAGTGTCACCCCCACGCCACGATGAGGCGGCCGACCATTGTGGGGGACTAATGTGGAATAGCGCC